CCTATAAAATTGTTGAATCATGACCCAAAAACTTCATCTAAATTTTTGATCACAAGATCGAATTCTTAGGTAGACAAAATTTTTACTCTCTTTCTCTCTCTCTTTCTCTCTCTCTCTCTTCCTTCCTATTTCTCTCTTTATTCCTTTCTCCCTCCTTTTTTTCCCCTTTTTTGTGTTGTCCGAATGGCCACTGGCCAAAGTCCCACCCCCAATGTTACTTGTATAGGCCTAGATCACATGGACAAATGTCCATGCACTTGTCCATTTTTTTTAATATATCTAAACCACCTGTCACTCATACACCCAATAATGTTCCCACCCCATTTAACACATGTTTCATTTTATATATATATATATCATTTTACCAATTTACTATATCATTTGGATATTACGTCTTTTTATTTATTTATTATTTCAACATGAAATATGACCTCTATTGTAGTCATTCGTCTCATTTCAACGTAAGGAATTCATATTTGAGGTCCTTTCGTAAATTAGAAATTTCTAAAAATAACCCTCCATTATATAGAATCATAATTAATGACCTAATTAGCATGTTAGTGACTAATTTTTATTTGGTTTGTCACAAGTGCAAATAGCATCTCCATTGTGAGACTCAATCATGCATTGCATACATATTAGCATAATTGTGTGGACTAATTACGATTATGTGAAATTATTTATTAGAATTTTGTGTATGAAAATATTATTGGGTTGATTTTGAAATCCCTTAAGAATTTGGGGAGAGACAAGCATAATTATTAGGTTTGAATGAAACATCTCTACATGAGTTTGCATATGAAAAAGGGTGAGTCATGTGGGTTGCTAAGTGGCTGTGTATGTGTGTGCGCGCACGCCAAGTGTGAGTGTGTGTGTTTTAAAGTGTAGAAGTGTGTGTGTGTAATTCAAAGTGTAGAAGTGTGTGTGTTTAAAAGATAAAACAATGTGTGTGTGTTCTTGCTTGCTGGAAACCGAGAGTGAGGGAGAGTAAAAGAGAAAGGAAGGGATAGAAGAGATAAAATAAAGTGGTGGTCTGAGATTTAAAGGGAGGAGATGTTAGCTTAAACGGAAAACAGAGAGTAACTGGAGGAAAGAAGATCGAAAATAAGAAAAAGAAAGACAACCGTGAATAGAGTTGGTCTTTACACAAAGCTTGTTGTAAGCTATCTTCATTGTTTAATTTAATTTTATTACTCAATTGCAGTAAAATTAAGGATATTGGCCAGCTTATAGTTTAAGGAGATTCTTTTATTTCAAGAGTTAGAGAGAAAATTTGAATTCCATGATTCATGATGTACAATTAATGACTTATTAATATGTAAGCTTTGATTTTCAACATATGTTACCCGAATCTTTGCATTATTTTAAGTTTTATTTTCATACAAAGGTATAGTAAGCTGGACAAGGAAAGCAAGTAGAAGGAGAAAAATGAGGACTCGGAACTGGAGTCCAACTCCAACTCCAGCAAACTAGATTGATGAGTATGTTTACTAAATTTTCTCTTTTTTTTTTAACCTAAACGGAGTTTTGTTTACTATTTCACGTTTTGCAAGAATTTCATTGACAGGCCAATTTGTAAATAGGGATAAAATGTCTTTTTCATTTTCGTTGTTAGTTTTAGATATGCTATAATTGATGGAACAAAACCTATACACTACATTGGGGAGGAACTCGAGAGACGAATATCGAGATAAATCATACTCCACAATCATTGGTAAAAATGACACATACACACGCAATTGAAAGGAATGTTATGTGCTCAATTATGTTTATAGCAGAGGTAGTTATTTCTATTTTAGAGCGAGAAGGTCTGACTTCTCTCTAGGAATCTTTCTGCACAAATCTTCAATTTTCACTCAAATTTCTTGAATTTTCCACTAAATTCTTGCAGTCTATACTGATTCTTGTAGATTAAACCATGAATCCTAATCAAATTCACAAGCATATTCCACCAAAACCATTGGATATAATCAAAAACTTTGCATCTCTATTCAAGAACAATTCGAACTTTGGGAGTTTTTTGGAACTGTCGAATCCTTTTGCAATGCACTCAAATCTTTCTGGAAATCTTCCCGGTGATGAGAGAACTCAATTTATGCCTCCTACTCTCATTTTGAATCCCCAAACTTCTTTGAATATTCAAATTCCTGCGAATTCCCAAAATCCTTTGACTGAGAGTGATTTTGTGATTCCTCATATCTCTTCGAATATACAAAGTCTTCAGGTCCTAATTGTTCTTTCGAATGTTTAGGATACTAATAGAGCTCAGATTCTTCCATCTAGCATGTTTCCTGGTTCCTTGTCATCTGTGAGTTCTTCGATGCCAACGAAGAGAGTAGTCTTTAACAATGGGGAACCAGGTATGTGCTGGTCCCCATATGAGACTCAGGAGCTTTCTATGGGTTTTCACCAGACTCTAATGGGTAAATGTGCATATGGTAAGCCATCACTAGGTGTAATTAAGGAATTCATCATTTCGAGGTGGCTTCCAAAAGGTGATTTCTCTGTTTGAGTGAATTCTAGACATGTGTTGATTAGGTTCAGCTTGTATGAAGATTATGTAAAGACCTGGTTGAAGGACACTACCTACATTGAAGGCTTTCTCTTTAGGTTTTTCAAGTAGTTTTCGGAGTTTTACCCTAGAATTAAGCCTCCTATTGTACTTGTTTGAGTGTCTCTACTTGGTCTGCCCATTCATCTCTTTAACAGAGAGAGTTTAAGAGATATATTGAGCCCCATAGGTAGAATTTTAGTGATTGATAATGCTACATTGAAGCTATCTAGGCTTGCAATTGTCCGGGCTTGTGTGGAAATGAATCTCTTGGCAAAGAATCCCAAAAGATTCTAGTTGGACATGGTGGGAGTGAGTGATCGATGGCAGAGGATTGTATAAGAGACATATTATAAATACTGTCATGCTTGTATTAAGCAGGAACATGATGAGTCTATATATCGTAGAAAGAAGAAGGAGGAGGTGGTTGTTACTTCTGAAAAGGCTTATGTTCCTGTGAATGGCTCTGGTCTTGCTGAAGGATGGAAAAAGGGGAAAGGTAAAGTTGTTGCCAACGATGAACAATGAGTGAAACAAAGGAGGGAGTATAGATAGAAGACTGTTGTTCCTAATGCAGAGGTTGGGAATAGATTTACTATTTTGGAAGAGGTGAATGAGGTTCCTGAGATGATTGTAGCTACTGATGCAAAAGTTAATGTTGTTTTGAATGACAATCAGTCTGCTCAATTACGATCAAATGAGAGGGCATAGCTGTAGGGGAGGATTGGTGTTCAATTGGGGGACAATAATAAGGAGAATGGAGGGATGGGTTGTGTTGATGGTATTGTGGATAATTTGGAGGTTTCATCACCTTCTATTGTGAATTTGGAAGGTGAGCAGTTGAAGGACCACACTGAAAATGATGTGGAAATGGTCTTTGAATGTGGAGAAGTGTCTCCAATTGTTAATGATTCTGGGATTGCTCTGAGTAAAGAGAAGGAACAAAGACTGGAAAAGGTGGTGTCTAAAGAGAAGGTAAATGAAGGGGAAATTCCTATTTGCAATACCAGCAAGCATTTTTGTCCATCTGCTGATTCTTCTTTTTGGGTGAATAATGCTTACAGTGCTCGTGATAAAAGTACCTTTTCTTTAGATGATGAGAATGGATTGGTGAAAGATAAAGAACCTCCTGATAAGGGATTATGCTCTTAGCAGGAGAATTCCATGGATTGGGCAAATCTCTCAGATAATGTGGAAGGCTTTGAAGAGAATCTGGAGAATCTAGAGATTGCCAATTCTATTGATTCCAGTCCTAGGCTATTGCTTAGAGATAATTTGAATCTCTCTTCCTTATGATGAACTTCATGGTGTGGAATGTGAGGGGAGCTAGAAAAGAGGCTCTGAGAAGTAGGTTAAAGAAATTGATACATATGAATAGGATTGTTTTACTGGCTATACTAGAACCTAAGATGAGATCTTCTAAAATTAGAGGATTTGCATCTAGTGTTGGTTTATCTGCCTTTGTGTTTAATTCTCTTGCTGAAAAGAAATTGTGGTTGTTATGGAGTGAAAGGGTGGAGGTTAAAGTTGTTATGGAATTTGAACAATACTTATCTGTGACTATTTCACATATGGGTTCTCCTACAATTTTAGTTACTGTGGTCTATGCCTACTGTGACCATGTGTTGAGGAGGCCATTATGGCATCATCTGCATCTGGTTGCTACTTCTTTTGATTTCCCTTGGCTTGTTATGGAGGATTTTAATACTGTGATTAATTCTGTTGAAAGAATAGAGGGAGCTTATCCTTCTAGTGTTGCTACGAATGAATTTGGGGATTATATTCATGAGTAAGGATTGATTGATTGAGGTTTTGAAGGAAGTAGTTATACATGGTGTAATATTTGGATAGGGTGTTGGTAAATAATGATTGGGTTACCTAATTTGAGAATACTCAAGTCATTCATTTGGCAAGAAGCAGTTCTAATCACTGTCCTCTTTTAGTTAAAGTGTTGGAAGCTAGGGTCCAACAAAGGATTTCATACTTTAAATTTCTGGATATGTGGACTAAAGATCATTCTTTTTTGGATCTAGTAAAGGGAAACTGATGTGGATGGTATTCAGATAATCCTATTGAAAATATGTTTTCAAAGATGAAATTTTTGAAAATTCAATTGAAAAGATGGAATAAGGATGTGTTTGGTAACATTTTTGAGAAGATTCAGGCTCAAGAGATGGAATTGAGGCATGCTGAGAGGTGTATAGAATTGGATGACTCTGTAGATAATCTCAAGTTTTTTTAGAATGCCAAAAAACAATTGGAGTATACACTTAAATTGGAGGAATACTTTTGGAGGCAAAAGGCAAATGTTAAATGGGCAGTAGAACGTGAGAGGAACACTAAGTTGTATCACACTATTGCTAAAAGTAAAGTTGTGAGAGGCAGAGTTAGAAAAGTCAAGAATGAAGAGGATGCTTGGTTGGTGATTGAGGAATAAATTTCTTCTCATGTTGTTTCTTTTTTTTTCTAAACTGTATAAATAAGAATCTCATGAGTTGATAGATAACATTTTTGAACCCATTCCTCTTAGGGTTGGTGAGGAGGAGAATGAGAAACTGACTTGTGTTGCTACTATAGAAGAGATAAAAAGTGTGGTTTTCTCAATGTCAGTGGAAAGTGCCCTAGGGGCAGATGGTTTTTCTAGCAAATTTTTTCAAGTAGTGTGGGAGATCATTCAACAACACATGTTGGAGGCTGTTAACTTCTTTCTTAAAGGTGGGAGTGTGCCAAGGTCTGTCAATGCTACTCCAGTTTTAGTTACTGTGGTTTATGCCTGCTGTGACCATGTGTTGAGGAGGACATTATGGCATCATCTGCATCTGGTTGCTGCTTCTTTTGATTTCCCTTGGCTTGTTTTGGGGGATTTTAATACTGTGATTAATTCTGTTGAAAGACTAGGGGGAGCTTATCCTTCTAGTGTTACTATGAATGAATTTGGGGATTATATTCATGAGGAAGGATTGATTGATTGATTGTGGTTTTGAGGGAAGTAGTTATACATGGTGTAATAATCATCATGGGGCTACTAGAATGTGGCAACGTTTAGATAGGCTGTTGGTAAATAGTGATTGGGTTACCAAAGTTGAGAATACTCAAGTCATTCATTTGGCAAGAGGCAGTTCTAATCATTGTCCTCTTTTAGTTAAAGTGGTGGAAGCTGGGGTCCAACAAAGGATTTCATACTTTAAATTTATGGATATGTGGACTGAAGATTATTCTTTTTTGGATCTAGTAAAGGCAAACTGGTGTGGATGGTATTCAGAGAATCCTATTGAAAATATGTTTTTAAAGATGAAATTTAGGAAAATTCAATTGAAAAGATGGAATAAGGATGTGTTTGGTAACTTTTTTGAGAAGATTCAAGCTCAAGAGATGGAATTAAGGCATGCTAAGAGGTGTATATAATTGGATGATTTTGTAGATAATCTCAGGCCTTTGGAGAATGCCAGAAAACAATTGGAGTATACACTTAAATTGGAGGAATCAATTTGGAGGCAGAAGGCAAATGTTAAATGGGCAGTAGAAGGTGAGAGGAACACAAAGTTCTATCACACTATTGCTAAAAGTAAAGCTGTGAGAGGCAAAGTTAGTAAAGTCAAGAATGAAGAGGATGCTTGGTTGGTGATTGAGGAGGAAATTTATTCTCATGTTGTTTCTTTTTTTTTTTTCTAAACTGTATAAATCAGAACCTCATGAGTTGATAGATAACATTTTTGAACCCATTCCTCTTAGGGTTGGTGAGGAGGAGAATAAGAAACTGACTTGTGCTGCTACTATAGAAGAGATTAAAAGTGTGGTTTTCTCAATGTCAGTGGAAAGTGCCCCAGGGCAAATGGTTTTTCTGGCAAATTTTTTCAAGTAGTATTGGAGATCATTCAACAGGACATGTTGGAGGTTGTTAACTTCTTTCTTAAACGTGGGAGTGTGGCAAGGTCTATCAATGCTACTTTGCTAGCATTGATACCTAAGAAGACTAATCCTACTTCTTTTTCAGAATTTCATCCTATTAGTTTATGTCAATTTTTATACAAAGTTTTTAGGAAAGTTTTGGCTAAGAGATTGGCTTTGTTGCTGCCTTCTTTAGTTTCTGAGGCACAACATGGTTTCATTCAGGGTAGGAGTATTGGAGAATGTATCTCTTTAGCTCAATTGATGGTAGGAGAGATTGATAGAAAGGTGGAGACTGGAAACATTGTACTTAAGTTGGACATGATGAAAGCGTATGATAGAATGGAATGGGACTTTATTCAAAGAGTTTTGAGGTGCTTTGGTTTCTCTGAGCTTTTTGTGACTATTATTGGTAATTGCTTCAAAAATCAGTTCTTCTCAGTGTGTTTAAATGGACAAAGGCATGGTTTTTTCCTAGCTTCTCGTGGTTTGAGACAGGGAGACCCCATATCTCCCTCTCTATTTATTTTGGCAGAAGAGGCTCTCAATATGGGTCTAACTAAGCTTTTTGTTGATGGTTTTGTGAAGCATTTCCATACAAGTAGAGGAACAGTATTGATTTCTCATTTGTTGTTTGAAAATGATACTTATTGTTTCAAAGAGGAAATAGAAGGTCTTTGGTGAATTTGTTAAAGTTCTTGAGTTTGTATGAAGGCAATTCTGAGCAGAGAATCAGCAGGCAGAAAAGCTCATTGATTTGTTCCTCCAGAATTCCTCAAAATAGAGCTTTAATGTTGTCTACATTAGGTCAAATACCTATTAAAAAGTGCACAATCACTTATTTGGGCTGCCCTTTGGTGAGTGGTAGGAGAAGGTTGAGAGATTTTGAAGACCTTGTTTTGAAATTTAAGGCGAGAATAGAAGGGTGGCAAGGTAGATTACTTTCTAACATGGGGAGATTGGTGATGGTGCAATCTGTGTTAAATTCTGTCCCAGTGCACTTGCTGGCTTGTTTAAATTTGCCTAAAGGGATTTTGTCTAGATTGAATTCCCATATGGCTTCTTTCAGGGGTTAAAAGAGGGCATTGGGTTTCTTGGCAGGGGATTGCTAGACTTATACAAGAAGGAGGTTTAGGGATTAGAAGGTTTGAAGATGTTCAAATAGCATTTAGAATGAAACAAATTTGGGGGATTTTACAGGGACAGTCTCTTTGGGGTAAAGTTTTTGCCGCAAAGATTTTGAAGGGAGGACATGTTTTAAGATGTTCTAATAATGGTAAATTGAAAAGTATTAAAATGTTGCAACCATGGTTTGATATGGTGGTCATGAATTCTTTCTCAGTTGTGGGGGATGGAAGTTCAGTTGATTTTTGGTGTTCTAATTGGTTGGGTTTTGGCCCTTTGTTGCTTAGAACTTCTGGATCTCCTGTCTGTTTTCCCAAGCTTTCTGAGGTGTATGTTGATAATAGATGGCACAACTGATTGGGGATCTTATTAGTGATCAGCTGAGAGAGGAAATTCTATCTTCTAATGTTAGTCTGTCTAATAGGTCTGATTGTTTGATTTGGAAGCCTACTACTAATGGTCTTTTCTCGGTCAAATCAGCTTGGAAGCTAGCTAGGAATGGTGGGAGGCTTAATTAAGTGGCTTCTGCTATTTGGAGGATGTCTGTCCCTTCTAGTGCTAAGTTGTTGGGTTGGAGGCTTCTGAATAATGTTGTGCCTTTGGATTCCAGGTTTTAGTCCATTAGGGTCAATCTGGCCAATAAACGTTCTTTGTGTTCTGCTAAAATCGAATCTAGTTCTCATATGTTTATTCAATGTAATTTTGCTGCTATGGTGTGGTCCAAAATAGTTGTTTTATGTGGTTTTCATTTGTTTATTGGTGACTCTACAATGGTTAGGTTGGTGAGAATGCATAGATTTTTTAAGAAAGATTCCCTGTATCATGCTCTGATGAGAGGATTGCCACTGGCAGTGTTCTAGCCTATTTGGAAGGAAAGGTGCAGGAGAGTTTATGATGAAGGTTGTTTAACTTTTCATGCTATTTTTTTAAAGTTTGTGAGGTGGTAAGAATGCAAGCTAAGGTGTTCAGGCCTAGTGTAGTGGAAAGTGAAAGGGGAAAGGAGGTGCTGCAGGCTTTGGGACTTGAGAATGTTCAGAGGTTTCAGATTATTGCTTTGTGGGTGAGATGGTATCCTAGTTCATTTGGAATGCTAAAGCTCAATGTCGATGGGGCTTCCAAAGGGAATCTTGGTAGGGCTG